GGACTCTCGAATCTGTGCTCTGAAGTCTTTGATCTGAACTGCCTTTTTTTTTCCCCTGGTTTTTCTCTGTTGTGGTTTATCACAGCATACTGAATAGAGTTCCCTGTGCTATACAGTAGGACCTTGTTGTTTATCCATCCTATAGATACTAGTTTGCACCTGCTAATCTCAAACTCCCAATCCTTCCCTCCCCTGCCCGCCCTCCTCCTTGGCAACCACAAGTCTGAGTCTGTTTTGTAGATAAGTGCACTTGTGTCGTATTTTAGATTCCACATATAAGTGATCTCACGTGGTATGTGTCTCTGTCTCACTCACTCAGTGTGATCATCTCCAGGTCCGTCCATGTCGCTGCAGTCACAGCCACATCTCTTCTTCTTCCTGCACTCCTGTCTTCTGTGCACCGCTCTGGCCCCCCAGGGCTTCCAGTACTCACTTCTGCATGTGAGCAGTGGCCTGTCTCCACCCGTGTGCCCTGGACGTGTTTCTCACCCTCTCTAAACCTCAGGGTCCTCGTGTGTAGAAGGAGAAATCGCAAACTGAATCTTCCTCGAAAGATTTTCATGTGGTTTAAGTGAGACAACGCAGGTTGAACCCACGGTAAACAGTCACTGTTGGCTCTCCCATTCTCGTCACGCCGTGCTCTTGCCCCAGGAGCGTCTCCAGAGAGAGTCAGAGTCAACCGGGGATGTAATGTTTGCCATGAAGGGAGAAGAGCTGGTTTCTCCCAGACCCGGAGAGAGGAATGAGGACAAGGCTGCCCAGGACTGAGAAGACATCCGGGCGCCGAGGCCGTAAGGGAAGGAGCTGCAGGGCAGAGTGACCTTGAGCCTGTGACCTTCCTAAGCGTACTGAGGTCCAGCACTTCCTCACAGAGGCCTTATAACCTTTATTACATAGGGGACTGTGTCTTCCGTGACTAAAGCAGTGTGACCTTTCCTTCCTGACCTGCCTCTTGCCTGGACCCCCAGTGTGACACTGGGTGCAAGTGTGAGGCAGGGGTGGGGGGGTCCTTGCCTCGTTCCTGAGCTTTCCCTGCCCAGCGTGACGGTAACCGTAGAGTGCTCCTAAAAGCCCTCGTAAGGTTGAGGAAGTTCTCCTCTCTTCCTACCTTGCTGAGAGTTTCTGTCGTGAATAGGAATAGAAATGATGTTAAATGTTCTTCTGCATCTAATGACATGACTCTATGGTTTTCCTCCTTTTTTCCATTAATGTGGTGAATTCTGTTGGTTGAACATAGAAGGTTAAACCAGACATGCTTGTGATGAACCCCTCTTACGATGTATTATCTTTAATGTGCTGAATTTGATTTGTTAAATTTTTAAGAACTTGCTACATTTTCTTAAGGTTTTTCTATGATCATAGGGATATGAATCTGATTCTTTTCTTCTAATGTTTTTGCTTGTTTTAGAGTCAGGGTAATACTGCCTCATAAAAAAGAGACTTGGGACGTGTTTCTTCTATTTTCTGGAAGAGTTTGTGTTTCACCAGGTTTTTTTTCTTTAATGTTTGGTGAAATTCACCAGTGAAGCCATCTTGGCTTGGAAGTTTCTTTAAGGGAAGGTTTTTAACTACAAGTTCAGCTCTTAAAAGAGATAGAGGGCTGTTCAGGTTATCTCTTTCGTGAGTTTTTGTAATGTGTGTCTTTCCAGGATTTACCCGTTTCATCTAAGCTGCTGAATTTACCATCATAAAGTCACTCATCTATTTCCTTACTATCTTTTTGCATCTGTAAGATCTTTGGTGAAAAATCCCCTCTTTAATTCCTGCTATTGGTAATTTTATGTCTTTACCATTTTTTTCTTTAATTAGTCTGTAGAAGTTTGCCAATTTTGTTGATCTGTCGAAAGAACCGGTGTTAGGTTTCATTGATTTTTTTTTTTCCTCCCCTGCCTCTTCCCCCACGCCCCCAATTGCAGTGATGTCAAATCTTTTCTTTATTGTTTCCTTCCCTTTGTTTGCATTGGGATTAAATTTGCTTTACTTTTCCTTGTGATTTTTTTCTTTAACCCTCGGCTTCATATAGAAGTGTTATTTATTTGAAGATGTTTAGGATTTTTCCGGATATCGTTCTGATGTTGATTTCTCATTCAGTTCCCTTATTGTCAGAGACCATTCTTTGTTTGACTTCAGTTCTTTGAAATTTACTGAGACTTGCTTTACTGTCCAGAGAACAGTCTGTGCTGACGAGTGTTCTGTGCCCACCTTTAAGTGATGTTCTGTCTAATTGTTAGGTAACTACTGAATGGGGGTGTGAAATCCCATCTGTAATTTTGGTCAAGTCTCCCTTTAGGTCTGTCGGGTTTGCTTCATGCACTTGGAAAGTCTGTTGGTAGCTGTGTGCGTGTCTGATGAACTGACCCCTTTGTCCTTTTATGTGAGGTCCCTGTCCTCCTTCTGTGTCGTTCTGACACCCCCGTCTCACGCTGACTTAGGCCAGCTTGCTCCTGGTTGGTGTTACTGTGCTGCACCTCTTCTGTCCTTTTGCTTTGAACCTATTTGTGTCTTGATGTTTAACGTGTTTTTTGTAGGCAACATATAATTAGTCTTAGTTTTTTACCCAACCTGACAATCCCTGCCTTTCTTAAAATACAACTTTATTGGTTGTGTAGGCTGTGTCCTGTGTCTTCTTTCCTCTGATGCTCTGCTCCCAGAATGCTTCACGTCTGGCCACCGATATGTGGTCTTGTGTCCACACTGGCCGTTCTCCAGCACCAGCTGGCTGTCCCTCAGTTCAGTTCTGACACCACCACCTGAAGTCATCCTCAGATCCCCCGGGTCAGGGCCCAGTCCCACAAGACCGCTCCCATTCAGACACCAACCGCAGTTGTCCCCTGTATTTCTGACCAACCGGCTTAAGTCTGGGTTCCCACAATAAAGTGCTAGGGTGGCTCACAGAACTCAGGGAACCCTTACTGACATGTATTGGTTTACTGTAGGAAAAGGATACGATAAGGGACACAGGTGAACAGCCACGTGAAGATGCACAGGGCGAGGTCTGGGAGGGTCCTGAGCGCAGGGACTTCTGTCCTCCTGGAGTTGGGGTGCGTCACCCGCCCGACACGTGGTTGTGTTCACTAGCCCAGCAGTTCCCCTAACCCCCGGACAACTGGGATTCTATAGTCGTTTCATCACATGGGCGTGATCAGTATTAACTCAGTCTCCAGCCCATCCTGGGGTGTGGGGGTGTGGCTGAGAGTTCCAAGTTTCTGGCCGCGGCTCTTTCTGGTCATGGGCCTCCATCCAGGAGTCACCTCGTTAGAACAAGAGATGTTCCTGTCACTCAGGAACTGCCAAGGGTTTTAGGAGCTCTGTGTCAGAAACTGGGGGCACAGACCAGTGTACATACGTATTTCATACTTTTTCACATTGGGTGTAATTGACATACAATAAACTGCACTTATTTAAAGGGTACAATTTGTTCAATATACACACACACTTATATCATGTTTATATACATAAACAGTTTGCTGCCAACATTTGTGGACAAATCGTATGAGCATAGGCACTCACATGCAACTAATTTTCAGCAAAGTTACAAAGGCATCCTTTTGTTGAGAAGGATGGTCTTTTCAACAAATGCTGTTTGAACAATTAGATATTCATATGCAAAACAATGAATTTGAATCTTTCAAAGATCTAAGTATAAAATATAAAACTTCTAGAAAACACAGGAGAAAATCTTTCTTAGATACAACCCCAAAAGTACAGTCCATGAAAGAACAAATTGGTAAATTGGACTTCACTAAAATTAAGGGCATTTCTTTTCCAAAAATACTGTTAAGAGAATGAAAAGACAAGCTACAGACTAGAATCATATACCTGAAAGAGGGCTTCTTTCCAGGCATGTAAAGAACTCTAAGAAAATACACAATCTGTGAAAACGTGGGCAAAACACGTGAACAGATGCTTCACCAACGGAGAGAAGCAAATGGCAAATACACACGTAAAATGTTCAACATTATCAGTCATTAAGGAAATTGCCAATTAAGGCTGGAATAAGATACCTTTACATACCTATTAATTAGAAGGGCTAAAATTAGATTGATGGACCTTACCAAGTCTTAGTATTTTCTCTTTACCATCTTTTTCTCACTTTTTGGATATATAGTAATGTGTATATGTTACTCCCAAATTCCTGATTTTCCCTCCCCCCTACCTTTCCCCTTTGGTAACCATAAGTTTGTTTTCTATGTCTGAGAGTCTATTTCTGTTTTGTAAATAAGTTCATCTGTATCATTTTTTTAGATTCCACACATAAGTGACATCTTATGACATTTGTCTTTCTCTGTCTGACCTCACTTAGTATGATCATCTCCAGGTCCATCCATATTGCTCCAACGGCATTATTTCATTCTTCTTTATGGCTGAGTGATGTTCCATCGTGTATATGGACCACGTCTTCTTTATCCATTTTCTGTCGATGGACATTAGGTTGTTTCCACGTCTTGGCTACTGTAAATAGTGTAGCTGTGAACGTTGGAGTGCCTGTATCTTCACCTATGGTTTTCTCAGGGTATATGCCCAGGAGTGGGATTGCTGGATCACATGGTAATTCTATTTTTAGCTTTTTAAGGAACCTCCATACTGTTCTCCATAGTGGCTGCACCAATTTACGTTCCCACCCACAGTGTAGGAGGGTTCCCTTTTGTCCACACCCTCTCCAGCATTTGTTATTTGTAGACTTTGATGATGGCCGTTCTGACAGGTGGGAGGTGGGACCTCATTGTAGTTCTGATTTGCGTTTCTCTAACGATTGGTGACGTTGAGCATCTTTTCACGTGCCGTTTGGCCATCTGTTTGTCTTCTTGGGGGACATGTCTATTTAGAGGGTATTTTCATTGTGTAACTGGTTTGTAAAAAAGTCAAGGAACAGACTTTTCTGTTTTAATTTCCCATTATGGAATTCCTTTCTCTGCATACACTGAGGCTCGTATATCCATGACAGTGTAGATTTGAAATGTGACTGGGTCCAGTGTCTGACTTGATCTCCTCTTCTGTAGATAATGCAGAAGGATCGCTGTGCCACCAAGATGACGGCGATCCTGTGTCTGAGACAAGCAGGTCCCCGCTGTGTGAATGCGTGTCTGCACCGTGGAGTGTTTAAGAGTAGAACTTCTGGAAGGCAGCGGTCCGCACCCTGATGACGCGCTCACCAGTTCCCTGGTCTACTCCTCAGTGAGATGTATGATTAGCCATATTCATAAGCATCCCGGAAGATAGGATTCTCTTGAAAGAACTGGAGATAATGTACATTTGGAGGCACAGAGGAGCATTTGCATCAGTTTTCTACCAACCCAGGCGGTCAGCATCGTGAGGCAGCCAGAATAGTTATGGTCAGTCATGGAGAATCACCAGGAGACGCGTCCCGAAGCGGGTGGGGATTTTGTTTCTGATCAAATACATTTTAAAATAGAAGAGGAAGATGACGATCACATCGCTGATCACAGTTTGGAAAGAATGGACTTTAGAAATGAGCAGGAGAACAGGAAACGGGCTGGCAGTGGGGATGAACGGGCAGAGGGCAGAGAGGCGAGCTGTGGCTGCCAGCCCCCGGGGAGGCGCGTCTCTCCTGACCCCGAGGACGACTACGGGGCCCTATTGTCACAGTATAACAGCACCCTGTACAGCGTGGCCATGGAGGCCGTGACGCAGAGCCTGCTCTCCGGCCGCGGCATCAGCTCCAGGAAGAAGTCCCCGGCTTGGAAGCATTTTTTCATCTCACCCCGGGATAGCACGAAGGCCATCTGTACGTACTGCATGAAGGAGTTCAGCAGGGGCAAGAACGAGAAGGACCTGAGCACCAGCTGTCTGATGCGGCATGTGAGGCGGGCGCACCCCACTGTTCTTGTGGAGGAAAACGGCAGCGCGCCGGCCCCGGCCCCCCTCCCTGCCCCTCTGCCGCGGCTCCCGCCACCGCCCACTGATGCTGGAGACCCGGGCACCGTCCTGTCACCTGGCAAACTCGTCCCCAGAACGGCCTCTAAGAGCCCATCTCCCCATCAGGTGACAGAGGAACTTGGCTCTGTGGTTTCTTCCGAAGAGGCGCCCTCCGACGTGTCAGTCTCTGAGAGGTACAGCAGGGATGAAGCCCTGGCGGGGCCGCCTCCCCAGCCTTCCAGCCTCCACTGCGATGAGCCTGCAGAGAACGGGGCTGAGAAAAACCTCCCCCTGCCCAGGAGCGCATCCGGGTCCAGGAGGAGGTCTGCCGTCTGGAAGCACTTCTACCTGTCGCCCCTGGACAACTCCAAGGCCGTGTGCATCCACTGCATGAACGAGTTCAGCCGGGGCAAGAACGGGAAGGACCTGGGCACCAGCTGCCTCATCAGGCACATGTGGCGGGCGCACCGCGCCATCGTGCTTCGGGAGAACGGCGGGGGCGCTGGCGTGCCGCCCCCCTACTCCGCACCTCCAACCCTGCTGCCCACCCCGCCGCCGCCTGACGGAGAGCCCAGCCCCACGTCCTCGTCTCCGGGGAAGCCGGTGCAGGACTCCGCCTCTGCGCCCTCCTCCCCCGACCGGCTGGCGGAGGACCCGCCAGCACACTGGAACCTCGGAGACACGCAGGTGGAAGACGTGTGGGCGTTGTCCTCCTCCTCTGACGTGGGTGAGGCCTCGTGGGCGTCCTCTCCCGAGAAGCAGCCGGGCGACACACCCAGCCCTCGCCCACTCGAGTCCGGTGCCGTGTTCCAGCAGAACAAGAAGGTCATGAGGAGGCTGAAGTCGGAAGTCTGGCATCACTTCTCGCTGGCCCCCACGGACAGCCTCAAGGCCGTGTGCAGGCACTGTGGCTGCGTCATCAGCCGGGGCAAGAAGGGCGACGTGGGCACGAGCTGTTTGATGCGGCATCTCTACAGGCGCCACCCGGAGGTCATTGGGAACCAGAAGGGCTTTCTGGGGGCCAGCTTGGCGAATTCGCCATACGCCACCTTGGCTTCTGCGGAAACTTCCTCCTCCAGATTAACTGACCTGCCGACCATGGTCACAAAAAACAATCAAGTTATGTTTCCCGTCAACAGCAAAAAGACCTCCAAGTTGTGGAATCACTTTTCTATCTGCTCCGCAGACCCCACGAAGGTCGTGTGCTTGCACTGTGGCCGGACGATCAGCAGAGGCAAGAAGCCGACCAACCTGGGCACCAGCTGTCTCCTGAGGCACCTACAGAGGTTCCACGGTGGCGTGCTGAAGCCCGATGCCCCCAGGACGGCGCCACCCTCCCCTCCTGGTGCCCGTGGGCCCCTGAGCTCAGAGTCGGCAGGCGCCTCCTCCTGCGATGACACCAACGAGAAGTTTTCTGATTCGCATCCAGTTGCCAAAAAAATAACAAGTCTCATTGCTGAAATGATCGCACTTGACCTCCAGCCGTACTCGTTTGTGGACAACGTTGGCTTCAATAGGCTGCTCGGATACTTGAAACCTCAGTACTCTCTGCCCCCTCCGTCCTACTTCTCCAGGACGGCCATCCCAGGTATGTACGACAATGTGAAACACATCATCATGTCACATCTCCAGGAAGCCGAGAGCGGTGTGGTCCACTTCACGTCTGGAATCTGGATGAGCAGCCAGACCCGGGAGTACCTGACCCTCACCGCCCACTGGGTCACCTTTGAGTCGTCGGCCCGACCGCACCGCGAGGACCACCACTGCTCGGCGCTGCTGGACGTGTCGCAGGTCGACTGTGACTACAGCGGTGGCAGTGTCCAGAAGCAGCTGGAGTGCTGGTGGGAGGCCTGGGTGACGTCCACTGGCCTGCAGGTGGGCATCACGGTCACCGACAGCCCCAGCATAGGGAAGGCACTGAACGAGGGGGCCCGCTCGAGCGTGCAGTGCTTCAGTCACACGGTCAGCCTCATCGTCAGCGAGGCCATCAAGAGCCAGAGGATGGTCCAGAACCTACTCAGCACCGCACGGAAAATATGCGAACGGGTCCACCGGTCGCCCCGGGCGAAAGCCAAGCTGGCGGAGCTGCAGAAGGAGTACGAGCTGCCGCCCCACCACCTCCTCCAGGACGTCCCGTCCAAGTGGAACACGTCGTTTCACATGCTGGAGCGGCTTATCGAGCAGAAGAGGGCGGTGAACGAGCTGTCTGTCGAGTGTAACTTCCGGGAGCTCATCAGCTGTGACCAGTGGGAGGTGATGCAGTCCGTGTGCCATGCGCTGAAGCCCTTCGACGCCGCCAGGCGGGAGATGAGCACCCACGTGTCCACGCTCAGCCAGGTCATCCCCATGATCCACATCCTCAACAGGAGGGTGGAGATGCTGTTTGAGGAGACCATGGGCATCGACACCATGCTCAAGTCCCTCAGGGAGGCCATGGTGAGCCGCCTGTCCGCCACCCTCCACGACCCCAGGTACGTGCTGGCCACCCTGCTGGACCCGCGCTACAAAGCCTCCCTCTTCTCCGAGGAGGAGGCGGAGCAGTACAAGCAGGACTTGATCAGGGAACTAGAAACGCTGAATTCTACCTCAGAGCCCACGCCCGTCTCCAACGGATGCGACCCGGGCTCCCCACCGCGAGACTGTGCCGGCGAGGAGAGCCTGTGGTCACTCATGGCCAAGATGAAGAAGACCGAGCCCAGAGGGAGGACGAAGGTCCCGGAGGACATGGTGCTCGCGTACCTGGAGGAGGAGGTGCTGGAGCACAGCTGTGACCCGCTCGCCTACTGGAACCTGAAGAGGGCGGCCTGGCCGGGCCTCTCCACCTTGGCCGTGCGGTTTCTGGGCTGCCCCCCGAGCATCGTTCCCTCCGAGAGGCTGTTCAGCACACCCACTGAGAACGGCAGCTTTGGCCAGTCCCGGCTCACGATGGAGCATTTCGAGAAACTTATTTTTCTGAAAGTGAATCTTCCCTTAATATGCTTCCAGTATTGAAGCTCACGGTGGAGCCACCAGACGAGAAGCAGCATCTGTCCCGGGCTGGCGGCTCGCTGCGGTCGGGGCCCTGCGGGACAGCAGGCCGGTCGCTCAGGTCCACATCCATGGGAGGTTCCCGTCCCGGCCCTCGCCGTCATGTCCACATGTGCCTTACCCAGTCCTTCAGGCCAGGTACCACGGTGTGTTTTTTAAGAAGTCCAGTAGAAACAGCCTGTCTTGTCAGTTATGAAATACAATGATTAGGTTTTCATTCGTAACTGTAAAATTTTTTAAAAGTTGGGGGTTAGGAGTTTGTTTTACTAGAATGGCAGAGGAGATATAAGCAGTTTTATTCAGTAGGCTTTTTATTCGATTATGTAAAAACCACAAATCAGGTACTGTACTTTAGTTTAAATGCAACAAAACCGCTCTTGTGGCTGTCAGACAAAACCTGTGTATAGGAGGTGGAGTTCAAGCCATCCCGACTGAGCCGTTCCTGGCTGCAGGCTCCAAAGTACGTTCAGGGGACGGCGAGTGTTCTGGGAGGTGACTGTTTACACGACAGAGACGTGGCTTTCGAAGACAAGCCTGCACTCACACGTATCCCGGAATGTCAGTCATGTAGGGTTCAGGGGAGAGAGCACTGCCGTTTCAGGGGTTTGCCCTCGGTGCCACGTGGGCTGTTAGCTCGGACACATCCCCGCCATTCACAGTGAGCGCCGGTGGTGCCTGCTGTGTAGCTAGTGCACGGCGTGACACGTTTACAGCATCCTGTTGATGGAATCTCCAAGCCTCTGACTCAGTGGCTCTACACCATGAAGCTATCTTGAAATTTGTGCACTGAACCCCAATTTGATCAAATTATGTATACAGTCCTTTTTAGAAGAGGTGGCTTATTAACAGGGAAGAAGATTGCTATAATACAGTTGTAAGAATAGCCTTAGGTGTTTAGATTTTCTTTTTGATAATAGGGAAGATTCAGCCATCAATGGGATATTTTAGAATCCCAAGGACATCAAAATGGAGTATCAGTCATCAGGTTTTTTTAACAATAATACGTCTTCAAAGTTTTTGCCTCAGTGTCTAGAAAAGGGTTCATTTTCTTATTTCGAACCAGGTAAACACTCTGGGTGAAACAAGTCACTGATTTGCCTGTGGCCTTTAGAAAAGGTGGCGTTTTGTTCGGATACTGTACCTGTTGTTAATCTGAACTTGCATCGACTACGTTTTAGTGTATTTATAAATGGTGAACCCCGTTTCTGAAATTAAACTTTTTATTTGCAATTTTCTACTGCTGGAGGACACTGGCTTTTTATTCTTAGGATAATAAAACAGTCCTACTCTTGGGGGCCAACATACACAGAAACCACATTCATGCAGCCTTTGGACTTTCACCTTAGCCCCAGGTGGGACCCAGGGGAAGTGGAGGAGTAATTCTTACAACAGCATTTCTGATAGCGGCAGTGATGTATGAGAACTCTCCGGGTCTTGTGTTCAGAGCGAGTGCTGTGCAGCCTGTGGTGCTGGAGGGGAAGAGCAGCCGCTGTGGAAAAGAGTATGGAGGCTCCTCAAAACAGCACATGCTACCGTATGACCCAGCATCCCACTCCTGGATATTTTCTGAAGGCAAAAACACTAATTTGAAAAGATATATGTACCCCCATGTTCATAGCAACATTATTTATGATCGCAAGATATGGGAGCAACCCAAGTGTCCATCAACAGATGAATGGATAGAGAAGATATGGTGTGTACATATATATACAATGGAATATTACTTAGCCATAAAAAAATCTTGCCATTTGCAACAAAATGGATAGATCTGGAGAGTGTTATGCTAAGTGAAATAAGTTGGACAGAGAGAGACAAACACCACATGATTTCACGCAAATGTGGAATCTAAAAACAAAATGAAACAGGAACACACTCATAGATACAGAGAATAAACTGGTAGTTTCCAGAAGGGAGAGGATGAGGGATGAGTGAAACAGGTGAGGGAGAGGAAGAGGCACAAACTTCCATTGACAGAACGAGCCACCAGGTTGTAATGTGCAGCATAGGGCATATAGTCAGTAATACTGGAAAAGCTTGGTGTGGCGACAGATGGTAACTAGACTTACTGTGATCATTTTTGTAACGTATAAAAATATCGAATCACTATGTGGTATACCTGCATCGTATGTCAGTTATAGTTCAATTAAGACAAATCCATTAGTGTCAGAATGAGAAAGGGTCTGGGAAGATGGCGCAGTAGGAGCACCGCAAGTCCCCATCCCCTGCCGGAACCGGTCTGCCGTAACTGTCGGGAACGCTGGAGAATACAGAAGGCTTGTAACCCCCAGGGGAGACTTGCAGGGTGGCAGCGCCCCACCCCCAGCCCCAGCCACCTGGCAGGCAGCTGTGCATGGGTCCTGGAGCAGCTTGCACACAGCTTACAGGAGCCAGGGCAGGGAAAGAAAGGACCCTGTCCTCCAGATATTGGGGATCTGTGCTCTGATAGCTCATCACTGCTCCTGATCTCACAGGTGCAGAGAAAGAGGCAGGCGCCATTGTTGTTGTACCGACCCCGACCCTGCACCCCTGCATTGTTGCAAGACCCTCTGCCTCTTCTCGAGTGTCTTCTGGGGGATTTAAAGGGCCAGAGCCCTTTTTTTAAAAAAATATTTTTTATTTATTTACTTTTGGCTGCATTGGGTCTTCATTGTTGCGCACGGGCTTTCTCTAGTTGCGGCGAGTGGGGGCTACCCTTCGTTGCGGTGCGTGGGCTTCTCATCACGGTGGCTTCTCTTTTTGTGGAGCACGGGCTCTAGGCACACGGGATTCAGTAGTTATGGCACATGGGCTCAGTAGTTGTGGCTCACGGGCTCTAGAGTACAGGCTCAGTAGTTGCAGTGCACGGGTTTAGTTGTTCTGCGGCATGTGGGATCTTCCTGGACCAGGGATCAAACCCGTGTCCCCTGCATTGGCAGGTGGATTCCCAACCACTGCGCCACCAGGGAAGTCCCCAGAGCCCTTTTTTAATCCCCTGTATTTTTTGCTTTTCCCCTTTCAGGAGCCAGACATTAAAGACTAAGGACATATAAAAATAACTGCATATATGGGGAGAATTAGAATGTGACTACTTGTGCCCAGGGAACGGCTCAGAAAACACTTAAGAAGACATTAACTTTACGCCTCAGGCTGACCCTTGGCACAAAGACAATCAAAAACAAAACCTAGGGAAAGCACAAAAGCCTAGGGAAGAGGAAGAATCTGATTTCCAGAGTCACCAAATTGTTAAATGAAAATGTCCAGTGCACAACAAAAAAGTCGCAAGGCATACAAAGAAACAGGAAAGTATGGTCAAAATACTTTTTACCCGAAGGAAAAAAATAATTCAACAGTCTCTCCCTGCAAAAAGACCTGATGGTGGATATACTGGACAGAGACTTTAAAACAGCAGTCTTAAAGATGCTCAAAGAACTAAATAGGACATGGAGAAAGTCAAGAAAATAATGTATGGAAAAGGTGGAAATATCAATAAAGACGTAGAAAACCTAAAAAACCAAAATGAAATTTGGAGCTGAAAAGTACAACTGAGATGGAAATTTTCACTAGAAAGATTCAAAGGCAGATTTAAGCAGAATGAATAAAGAATCAGCAACTAGAAATCATCAAGTTTGAGAAACAGAAAAAAGATTGAAGAAAAGTGAACAGAGCTAAGGGATATGTGGGCACCACTAAGCAAGCCAACATACATACTGTGGGAGTCCCAGAGGAAGAAGTTATGGGTGGGGGCAGAAAGAATATGTGAAGATATAATGGCCGATAACTTCCCAAATTTGATGAAAGACACAAATATAAACATCCAAGAAGCTCATGAACTTCAAGTAAGATGAACTCAAAGAGACCCACACTGAGACACGTTATATAATCAAACTGTCGAAAGGCAGAGAATCTTGAAAGCATCAAGAGAAGTGACTCACCACACACAAGGATCATCAATAAGATATTAGCAGATTTCTCACCAGAAACCTTGGAGCCCAGAAGACAATGGGCTGATATATTCAAAGTGCTAAGTGAAAAAAAATTGTTGATCAGGAATTTTATATCTGGCTAAGCTATCCTTCAAAAATGAGGGAGAGGGATTTCTCTGGCAGTCCAGTGGTTAAGACGCCACACTTCCACTGCAGGGGGCATGGGTTTGATCCCTGGTCTGGGAACTAAGATCCTGTATTCCGCATGACACAGCCAAAAATAAAACGAGGGAGAAATTAAGACAATCCCAGATACGCAAAAGCTGAGGGAGTTAGTGACCACTAGACCTGCCCTGCAAGAAATGCTCAAGGGAGCCCTGCAGGTGAGATGAAGGGACATCAGACAGTGACTCAAAGCCATGTGAAGAAATAAAGTGTTCAGAGAGGTAAATATATACGCAGCTACAAAACCTAGTATTGTTGTGAAGTGCGTTGTAACTCCACTTTTGGTGGTTTTCTCCCCCATGTTTAAGAGACTAATACATTAAAAAAGAAAAAAAAATTATACATATATATATATATATATATATATACACACATTCACACACATATATATATACTTCCAGTTTTGATATCTGCATGTGAGGAGCTTGGAAATTGCAACTCCATCCTAACAAGTAAAAAGCAGAACAATCTGAAAAATCAAAAACTCTTCCTGGCGGCCACAAGTCAAACTGTTGCACCCAAGACTGGGGAGACAGGCAAGTACAGTGAATCATGGTTTACCAGAGTAGAGAGTCAGGAGTGCAACCTGGCCTGGGAAACCAGTTCTGGGGCAGAAAAACTTAAACTGCAGTTGATGGATTTCAGGAGACTCAAAGTTGTCAGCAACTGTGAGAGTTAAAACCTATGGGGGGGCCTTCCCTGGTGGCGCAGTGGTTGAGAGTCCGCCTGCCGATGCAGGGGACATGGGTTCGTGGCCTGGTCCGGGAGGATCCCATATGCCACGGAGTGGCTGGGCCTGCGCATCTGGAGCCTGTGCTCCGCAACGGGAGAGGTCACAACAGTGAGAAGCCCGCGTATCACACACACACACAAAAAAAAACAAAACTCCAGGGGACCCAGTCATGAGGGAGCCCACACAATACTGTGAGATTTACCCCTGGAGCCTGAGCAGGTTCCCAAGTAAATATCAGCAAAGCCCCCTCAAGCTTTCTGCAGGGGGAGGGAAGGAACCATTTCCTACCGCGACAGAGCACTCTGCTCTCCTTAACAAGGCTGCTCTCAAGGGAAACTTGTTAACCAGAGCCTGACCTGCCGGGGTGTTATCAGAGCCTAACTGACCAGGGAAAGGGAAATGCCCAGCTCCAGCCTCTCTGGGCAGCCTGTCCCAACCAAGGGGAGATAAAGGACTGAGAAACACTTGTGAAGTTCACAGTCCAGAGGCACAGGCTCAGTAAAAGAACTGAGGCCTGATCACAGGACCATAGAAGGCGTCCCCTCTCCCACACCTCACCTCCACATTATTAAGGCCTATTTATAGCAGTTCCTTTCACCCAGTACATCATGTCTTGCTATCAGGAAAAAATTACAAGGCAAATTACACAATTAAAAGGCAAAAAAACACAATTTGAAGAGATAGAGCAAGGTTCAGAACTAGATATGGCAGAGATGTCGGAATTATCAGACTGGGAATTTAAAACCATTAAGTTCAATACGCTGAGGGCTCTCATGGATAAAGTCGACGACATGTAAGAACAGATGGGCAATGTGAGCAGAGAGTTGGAACTCCCCGAAAAGAGCTGAGAAGGAAAGCTTGAGATAAAGAAACACTGTAACAGAAATGAAGCCTTTGGTGGGCTTATTAGCAGACTGGACATGGCTGAGGAAAGAACCTCTGAGCTAGAGGATGTCTCAATAGAATCCTCGAAAAGCAAAAAGCAGGGAGAACAAAGACTGGAAAAAACAATGTCCAAGATCTATGGGACAATTACATATGGTGTAACTTGTATAATAGGAATGTTGGAAGGAACGAAAGAGGAAGAAACAGAAGATTTAAAATAACAACTGACAATTTCCGCAACTGAAATGTCAGACACCAAAACAGGAAGCTCAGAGAACATCAAGCAGGATAAATGCCAATAAATAAATAAATAAAACACAAAATCTACACCTTTACGTATCATTTTTAAACTAAAGAAAATCAAAGACAAAAACCTCAAAGAAACCGGCAGGGTTGAGGGGGGGAATACCCTACCTACAAAATAACAAAGATAAGAACTACAACTGACTTCTCAGAAATCGTGCAAAAGCAAGAGGAAAGTGGACTGAAA